CCTGCGAATTTTGAAATTCGGCACGTATGTAGTTGAATTAACTTTTCTTATGTGCACGCTCAAGCGGCCCCAAGCAAACAAAGAAAAACACTGCCAGGTAAGCGATCTTGAAACGCCTAAACATTCAATCGTTTGGATGTGGATTGGAACTTATGCTGGGAATGAGAGCATACCCTTCCCTTCAAAGTTGCGCGACCTCGTCTCCAGCAGAAGTTTCTTTGGCCTACCTACTGATATAAACTACATACTGGCAAATGGGCTGGAAGTAGTAGACTTTTCATATATACATCATCATCGTCATCATTATCAAAATCATTATCATCATCATCAGCCTGAATACAGCAGGGCAATGGCCCCTCCCATGTTTAGCCAATTAGCCCTCTCCAGTTATTTTTGCTGCCACGTGATACCTGCAAGCTTTTTATTTCATCTGTCCACGTAAATTTCTATCTCCCTCTCACGCGTTTGCCTTCTCTTGGAATCCAGTCAGATATACTGATAAGTACGAATTTATGAGCTCTATACTTCTCGACCTAAAGTAACAGTTAGGAATATTACCACATTCTTATTCCCGTCATTCAAGAAAACTGGTCAACTCGCCACACTCAAATGCAACTGTTAATTGGAATCTAGCGTCATATCGACTACGCGGTAAGCACTTCCACACGCTTCGCCCTGACGCAGATGAGGGGGTATTTCAATTTCGAACAGTCGAGATTCCTACGTTTTTGTCTTCTTCACTGTCATTCAGTTTCTCTATTGAAGCACGTGAATATGCCAATAAGATTTACTTTGAGCCTGTCATACAGTGTTAGCAAAGAAAAGAGAACACTGATGCCTTTATTTCACTTACTTTACAGCGTTATTGCACTAGTTCGTTTGACGACTCGACGTAACATGCCACTTCCTGGTGGAATCTCAAAGCATCGACGACCAACAAGCGCCCACACCCCTCCAAGAAATATTCGGCAGTAATACTCATGCGTCACATGGAGTATGGCGGGCAACCTGTATACTACATTCAGTTGCTGAGGTTTGCAACTCATACTCTGCAAATATTGATGAGCCCTTCAAGTTTTATTTGATTTGCTTGGTATGTGAAGTTTAACGTCCCAAATCAACCGTACGAATATGGAAGACACCATAGTGAAGGGTTCTTAAAAATTTCAACCAGCTGGAATTCTTTATTGTGCACCGAAATATGAGCACACGCGCCTTCAGCATTTTGCCTGCTTCGAAAATGCAGCGCATTTTTTCAAGCTTAACATGGTAAAACACTAAGGCGAAAAGCTCACACTTATCAAACGGGAAATACGTTCTTTTGTAAAGAAGGTGATGAGATTGATTATGATGATGGTGACAGCAACGATTGGCTTTCGCCTTCCATTCAGCTTAGATCACAAGTCTCACACATGTGGCCCATGTACCTTTCTATATGGTGGCCTCCATCCATATTTTGCATCGAACACTGTTGATATCACAAAAAACTCGAGGCCTGCGCTTAAAGCGCAGCACATTCATAGTGAAAGCTAAAAGAGCGGCCCTTCTAAAGCATCTTCGAATCATTTTAGGATCTAGGCTTGTCTGATGTCCATTGTACGTTGTCCTCGACGTTGATGATGATGATGATGTTAAAGAAGAAGCGCATTAGCCCATGCACAGCCCTTGCAAGGTACCAACTATACGCCATGACGATCACAATGACGCTGGTGACGTTCAAGACGCACATTAGCACATGAAAGGTACCCATTGATGATGACGACCATGAACATTCTCTCTCTGCCAAGAACGAAAACGAACGTAAGGCGCGGGAAGCTGAGGCAAAACTACAAAAACGCCAAGTGAGCTCGGAGTTCAGGGTTCTCGGATACTTCAACACTGGCATCACGGAGAACGCCTGGCTTGTACAGTATATGTCCCCTCGATACGCTATACGATGCATTTCGTATGAATGTGTAACGAGAGGCATCCTCAAGCTTCCCAGCATAAGCGGCGCGAGAGGGGTGGCACAAGAGCTGAAAAGCGATAATGATGATGAACGGTGAAGATGAAGGCGCTGCATCTGGAAACGACCTACAACGACCAGGGGTACGTGCATAAACCTCGTCTTTGCCAACTTCAGGCTAGATCTGACAGTAGAAGAACCACTATAGCTCTCCAGTTCGCGGACTGCCAAGTAGTAGTAATTAAGGCAACACAAAATCCACAATGCAAAATATAATTAACGATCAATAAGCATTTTATATAACTACAAAACTGTGTCACTCATTTACATGCACGACTGGGCACTGTAACAGGTTATTTACTGTAACAGCGAACGATCCCACTGCTTTGCCCACACATCATGGTTTTCTTCGTGACGATGCCGCCATCTTTTAGGGGCTAAGCTCCTTAGGGCGTGGGCTGTGCGTCCCCTGTAGCCTGTATGTAGCCACCTCTAGTTTAGTTCTTGCAGTGTTCACTAGATGGCGGTACCGTCCCCTGTATGTAGCCACCTCTAGTTTAGTTCTTGCAGTGTTTACTAGATGGTGGTACTTGTAGCTGATGATGAAAAGATGCAAGATGTTATAAACTAGAAAGCGGTACTTGTAGTTGATGAAAGACGCGATATCTTATAAAATAGGAATGATGTCACATATGGCGCGTGTCATTGGGCTGAAGGCAATCGTTCGATTTAGTGCGGCGACGTACGCTAGGGGGAGCGATGTAATAAAATCGAGCGGGAAAAATGTACAAAGGATTCATGGTTTACCAGGTTTACCTCCGGAGCTTCGCCCACTCATCATCATTCACTTCATGGATATGGCGGAATTTTTTTTTCAACCCTTCTGAGGCAACTACTACAAGCATTCTTGCATGGCACGCATTACGCAATAAACCATCATAATTTTTGTGAAGTAGGACAGCAATTATGGCTTATGGCACCGGTGGCGTTTTCTGTGCACTCGTGCCGTGCCGTACGTTCGTCAGGGCAACATGCGTGCGGTGACACATTTTCGACTGGGCCGGCCACGATGCGAGTGCAGGCCACGACGTGCAACGTGGAGGTCGACGGTGGATCGTGGTGCAATCCCATCAGCCCGCGCGCGCTGGCAGACGACGCGGTGACGTTCCACCATTGCAGGCATAATTTACAGCTGGCGCAGCCGCAGAACACGGCTGGACGGCACGAGAAACGTGCGTGAGCTTTTACCGTCCGACCGTACTCACAAAAGGCTACTTTTGCTGCCAGGATTACACTGGACACCGAAGGTTATGCGAAGATTACCGTAACCCTCGTCGAGTTGGTACAAAATCGATGCAGCACAACCACCTGGAGAACAGGGGCCGGATTCACAAAGCTCACTTACGAAAAAATTTTCGCACAAGAGAAATTTTGTCCCGTAAGTCGATTCACGAAGCCAAAAAAAAAAAGTCGTAAGAGGCCACCGTATTCACATCGGCCGCTGCAATAAAGCGCGCTGCTACTGCTGAGGGACATGTCAGCGATGGTGATGCAGCCAGTGTTTGTTTACGTCACCAAAAATGCTCCTAAGGGGATTCACGAAGCAAAATTGTGCGTAAAAACAGCGTGGCTAAGAAAAAAATCTTAAGAGTAGTCCGGACCACTCTTAGGGAAAATGTGGCTACTTAGAGCCTGCCGCCGCGGTGGTATACTTTGGTGTCCTGGCTGGTTTTGGGTTGATTCACGCCCTTGTAGGGCTGCCTGATGACTGCTGGTGCGTTTTTATTTATTTCGGCGCGTTGAGTTTTGTTTGTTGTTTCTCTGGTACGCAGTGGATGATATTGACAACCACTGTCGACCAATTAGTTCAGAGTCGCAGTAATTGAAGAATTCTATTGGGCGTCAGTAGCTAAAAATTATGCATGTAAAGATTTGTGGTTGGATGAATGCTAATGTGCTACGTGAATGGTCGGTGAATTGGAACGCAGCATGGCATATGATCAACCTTATTCGTAATGTTGTTGTCTTGCGCCCCACCTCATCCAATTAAAAGTACAACTCGAGATCCTTGCCCCATTGGGGGAAATTACCACACGAGAGGTTAATAAGAACACATTTCTTGCACGCTATTGGAAATAAAAATGAGTGGAACCTTTCAGTTAGTGGTTCATTAAGCCCATTTTGTGGTTGTGCTCTACAGTACGTCGTTTGGATTTAACTGTCCAATGGGCACAATCTCTGAAATACAGCTGTCGATACACTTTGAGATGATCTAGAACAGCCGTGTACTTTGTAAACCTAAGCATATTAAGAGTGTGCGTGATAACACACGGAACAACAAACAAATCAAGCGTTTCCGCCTTCGGTGTTCTGAAACCGATATGGGCCATGATAATATGGCAAGCAGTCGGAATAAAATGACCCTAGCAATTTTAAATGGCATCGGCAATGTGCACACCCTCATGACTCTGGAGCAAACCTTGGCTATATTCGTCCCTGTGAAAATTACCAACCATTTAACTGGGCGCACGAATATCGTTTAAAGGTAGAGCTAGCCACCGACATGTATTTTGGGCGAAGCAGCGACCACGTGACGTGAGAACAAATGCGTTGCGAAGCTGAAACCCCTGTCGCATGCTCTGGTCGAAGCAGACGACAAACGTTAGCAGACGGTGGCTTGGCCGACAGGCGCAGCTTGTGATTGGTTGTGTAGGAATACTCTCAACATCATCTTATCCTATGACGTTGAAAAAACACTTCTATCATCAAGAACCACTGTCGTGTTCGTCATATCTTCCCCCTTGCACATATGAGCAAATTTTGTCTCATCGTGAAAAACGCGCAAGTGTATTTTTTTAGGAGCTCACTTACGTCTTCACGTGCTGCGCAGTACTCGAAAACAACATGGCGTCGTAAACAGTTTTGGTGTGTTGCTGCCGATTTCAACAAACGCTTCTCGCATGAGTTACTTCAGCGTTCGACCGGATGCGTTGTGATTACGGCTGCTCTTTCGGTGCGTGTAAGCAGTGTGGAAAGTGCAGCAGTGTCATGCATGGTGTACGATGAAGCGCAGCGAAGCCTGTGTATCGGTATGTTCATCAAGCGGGATTCGGCACCGGTGTATCGACGACAACTAGCACTCGAGAAGCCTGCAATGTGTGTTTGTGTGCCGGTAATAGTTCGTTCGCTTCACTTTCCAGTCTCTCAGTTGCATGCTGTGCGACATTTCGGATTGACAGCGTTTAGGCCCGTTACTTGAGTGACCACAGCTACGTACAGAAACGTATGAACTACGCGCTGTGTTCGGTTCTTGCTTCGCCACTGGTTAGCCCATACGCTTCTATTTTCTTGTGAGGAGTCTAGTGTTCGGGAGTGAAACGATGTTCGTTGTGAAAAATGGTGCTGTGTTGACGTTTCTAAGACTTGTTACGAGGCTGTGCTCGTGTGACCGAAAATTGAAAGACAGCGTTGATTACTGTTTTGCCCTGCGAAGTTGTGGCGATGGGGCTCAGCGTTTTTGTTTGTTAACTCGTCACTTCTCGTTTTTGTGATTACCATCATCCGAGTGCTTTGATGTGACAAACTGAAGCTGCGAGATGCTACATTCTGCTGTGGATCGTGTTACTTTGGCAGCACGCCTAGAATGCTATTCGGTAAGAACTTGAGAGTTCTATGTGCCAGCGAGAGCCCGTGAACGTCAACCTCCCCTCCGGTCCTCAGAAAGAGCAACGATTTCACCAGTGCCTTTCTTTGGATGAAGTTGTAGGCCAGTACCGGCTAACTACAGGTTTCCGAGTTCGTTTGGCCATCGTTTTGCTCGGCACTAGAGCCTTGACAACAGTCGGTCATGAGCAGTTCTTACCCTATATCAATAGACGTGCACGCCTGGCCAGCCTTTCATTGCTCTCATCGGCAGCTTCCAGTCTGCAGATGTTCTTTGCCTGTTGGCCCTAGAGCACACTTGGTTCCTGATGACACTGCGGCTACTAAATGCTGCCATCAGTGAGCCGACCTTGCAGAACTAAATTTGTTGCTATTCACGCAGTACGATAACGTGTGCAAGTTTTTGAGCCCAGCAGATATAATGTTTCCTTATGTTAATTTCGAGCATGAAAAATTTACTACTACTGTTATGTACATACATATAATATGGAGAGGCGGGCAAAGACATCAGTAGTTTTTGTCATTTGATATAACTGAGCTCTTGTTTGATTACTAGGTTGGACCTGTCTATTCAGCACGCTTGATAGTTAGAAAATTATTGTGAATTTATTTTTCAGGGAGCCAGATTGCACTTGAGGAATTCATGTTAGTTTGAAAAATTATTTCTATAGACGATTACCGCTGTGGTAGCACTGTACTTCACTAGGACATAAAAATTGCAGTACGTAAATTTTACATGGGGCTTCAGTTCGTTTCAAAGTGATTATAGCAGATTTGATCTCTTTGCCTAAGGGATAGCTTCCTCAAATAAGTATTTGAAGTAAGTGCTTTTAATTATTGTTTTAAACATCTCGTTTTTGGCTCCTCACAGATCGCAGAGTTTAGTTTGTTAAGGTCATGTGATGCATCGATTGCACGCACAGGCACATCAAGCCTCATCATGACTTGGAGCACCTGTACAAAAATAGGAATGACATGTGCTCCCTCAATGTGCAAGTCTGTGTCACTGCTGGGACTGCTATCATTCAGTTGACCAGGAAATGGCCGGGAAGCATGCATGGGAGCCTCATCTGGAAGGACTGTAATCTGCTTGGGAGCTTCAAGGGCACAAAACTGCCTAATGACTGGTTGCAAGGTTGTTTTTTTATTACATACGATTATGTAAACACCCCTTACTGTGCACAAATTGAAAACCCAAGCATGGTTGCTCGCAGTGGATACTTATTATATTCTCACTCATAATGCTTATAGAACAATAATAAAACTAAACTACGAGGTAATTGAGAATGTTGAAAGTTGAAAGCCAGCAGCTTCTGAATGAAACTCTAATTATCTGAGGCTCAAAAGCTCGTGCTTTTGAACGAGCACAAATACTTTGATTCCTTATTGAGCTCTCGAGCTTGTGACAATCTGTGGATCAAGTGCTCTGAAAAGAAATAGCAAGTGCGTAAAAATCGCCTGGCTGTTCACAACTTGCAAGGAAAAATACCTACTGAACAAGCCTCAGACGACATATAACCAGTAACTGCATCTTTTACTTGATATAGCTTTTTCTTTCTCAGTGCTGTGGTATGTTGTGTTTCAGCCAAACGTGGTCAATATGATTGCATAGTGATATATTTTTTTTCTACAAATTGTATCTGACCTAAGTATGCATTGTTGATTTCTAAAGGTGATCCTCAGTGTGCCTCAAAGCCATGTCTCCTCAATTCCCTGGCTGTGGCTAGCCTACTTCAGCAGCAGTGTGATGCAGCCAGCACACATGCAAGCCAAGTCATGGAGCGCTCTTTTGGTGTCCTGTACAGGACACAACATATCCATCCGGCAAAACACTGATATCAATAATAATGGTGAGTGTTGGTGGCACCTGTAGGAGGCCATTGTGTTTGTTGCATATGATTATTTCCCCGGATGAAGTGCATTTTCAAAAGGTTTTCTCTGTCTGGAATAATAGATGTGAGCAACAAGCACACTCATAATCCACAAGTGCTTTGTGTCTTCTAGACTGCACATTTGCTCATATATGCTGTATGGTGAGCTGGAAATGTTAGATAGCCTTAAAGGATGAACATTAGGTGTTGTCTTTTAACATAGTCTATCTTGTGTTCCTTAGTGAACTTAAATGTGGTCTGCTTCTCACACCTGGTGTAATGTCGAAATAGAAGAAACTTGATCGGCTTAATATGCCTGGCAGATGTTTCATGCCTTCATCTATACTATTGTAGTTTTGCTCTTGTATAATATTAAAATATATTTCCAGTCTTTACTGTTTGTGTGTGTGTTGAGATTCCGTTTCTTTTTATTATTTCGTCATAGTTGTCATCAGCTTCTGAAGATATGACATCTGCAAGTATGAACGCATATTTACCAGATGTGCACTTTTGCGGGTAGCATGGTTGTAACGATGATCTGTATTTTTCCAAGTTCCAGCAGTAACAAGGGATCCTGTGCTTGACGGTCATGTAGAGTGCATCAAGAACAGAGCACAGAAGACCAATAAGCAGAAAGCGATTGCCAAAGACTGTTCTCCTGCTCAAAGTACACGACAGCAGAAAGAGCACGTTGTGATGTCAGGAGCAGTTTCAATTGTATACGTAGTAACATTCTGTGCAGCTGCTGTTTAACTTCTTAGCATTGCAATATTCAGCAGTTCCTTTTCTTGCATTCCAAACTATTTAAAACTTGCATGGGAGATACCAAATTATGACACTAATTTAAAGGCTGCTGTAGAGTTACTGGGCAAATAATTTTGAGCTGAAGATTTTAACATGCATGTTAATCAAAGTGCCTGCGTGTATCTGCATTTCACAGCCATAAATCTCAGCATCCGTGGCCGGCAAGGGTAACTGTGTTTGCATTCTTTGTAGTACAAGAAGTAAAGCCATAGATGTGGTAGTCTTGTACTTAGTCGATATATTCTTTCAGTATACATTCATTTGTATATCATGTGTATATAAGCTCTGGAAAGTGCTTCTATGTGGATTGTTTTATTTGGAAGGAAAAGGATGATCACTACTCCTAGTATATCTAACAGTAGGTTTTACAACTTGCGTAATGTTATCCCATTGCCTGTCGGTACTTCAACAGTCTACTTCTCTGTTTCTACTGTGTACGTGTAACTTCTTTAGTGTAGTCTTTGCTCGGATAGGTTTATTCATAATGTATTGAGTACATTGCAAATGACTTATCATCTATGCAGCTTTCCTCATATTAGAATAAAAGTAATAAATTTAATAATACGTAGCTATAGCATGCATCTATTTATCTTTTTCTATGTGCCTGTATCATTCTTTTGTGCTACAAGGGTACTGGTATACTCTTTTGTTGAATCTGGCATCTTAAAATATTTTGTTAGTGGAAGTAATAATGTGTTTATAACCACTATTACTATTCTCAGGTGAGCTGAGAAAACTCTATGAAAAAGTATTCACATTTTTAACCGTCTGAAGGTATATGTATTTGTGTTCTCTTATTGTGGTCCCTGTTTCATGCAAATGACACACAATTACAATGTAGTGTCATATTGTAGTGCAATGTGCTGAGCAACATCCCAGTTGAAGCCAGCAGCGAGACATACATGGAGTGCACTTGAGCACCACCTCACATACTTCGTGTACAGTCTATGCCCACCAGTGAAAGGAATTTTTTTCAAGCAGACTAACAGACAGCTGTATGGGAACTGTGCTGATCTGCAAACTTTGAAGCCTTTTCGAAGGGTGTTTTCGGGAAACAAAATGGGATCTATAGTTGTCATTATAAACCCTGTTTGCATCAAGGAGCTTAGTAGCTTAGAATTTTATTATTCATATATTGGTCTCAAACTTATTTGCGCTGTGCCGACTTTTCAGCCCAAGTATCCTAACATGCTTTGTTACTCTATTGTGAATGAGCCAAGCTATGTAAATAAACAAATTAATATTGCAGACATGTACCAAATGGAACGCACATAACTTCTCTCACCATGACACTGTCCAGGGCTTTCTTCTTGTGTTTCTTATAAAAGCTGCTTGTCACTTGGCAGCAGCAGAAACTACGCATCCAGCTTTTTCAAGATGGTTCGAGAAACACTGAGTTCAGACAAAACAGTGCTGGGAGATTTCTCTCGTAAGTTACTTTCTGTATATTCAAAATGAGTGTGTTAGAATACGTGTTTTAGAGCCATTCATACTAATATTTACACCTCAATGCATGTATGTATGTAATGTATGTATGTATGTATGTATGCATGTATGTATGTATGTATGTGTGTATGTATGTATGTATGTATGTATGTATGTATGTATGTATGTATGTATGTATGTATGTATGTATGTATGGTATGTATGTATGTATGTATGTATGTATGTATGTATGTATGCATGTATGTATGTATGTATGTATGTATGTATGTATGTATTCAATCGATATGTAGCATCTCATACATAATCCCAGAGAGGGCACCTCATAAAAATGCCAATAAAATAAAAAGACAGTGCAGCGTGCGCTGAGCCCAGAAGGCTACGTCCCAGCAGAGGTGCTGCGTACATAGCTAGTCCTGAGAAGGCTATAGGCGGTCTCTCCTGCCTCTCCCCCCCCCCCCCCCTCTTTGCTATGCTATCGCATACAATATAAATGATTATATATACTCTCTTTTGTATAACAAGTATGTGCCACAGAAATTGCACAAATCCCACAACTCGTTACACTTACAATATTCTCCGAAAATTTAGGTAAACATGCAGGCAGTAAACATTTACTACAGTGAAATCTCAATTGAGTGAACGTCAACAGACCCAAAGAAATTGTTCCCTTAACAGGAAATTCACAATATTGAATATTCACCTAAACACGGAACAGCACTAGGCACAGCAGATATCATGTCAAATGTGTGAAATGCAATTTATTTCGGAATCTTTGAATTCTGTAATTTTCCTCCGAATTGGCACCCTTGAAGCTGGCTACTCTTTCATGATGGTAGCCAATCGCACGCAAGACACCACCACATCACGACGCCAGCCAATTACACAACATAGTAACAAATGGGTAGTTGCACTCGTTGATGCAGCTAAGTTCCAGCCGTAAATTACACTCACATAAAGCCAGCCAGGAGAACGCGAGATTGGACTAGTTCATCCACCTCTCCATATAAAAAAAGGGCAAGGATTACGTTGGCCTATACTTGCTGTGGCAAAAACACGCCAATCTTGTGTGCTTTTAGCCACTTTACACAAGACACAACCACTCATCGAGAAGGTGACGCCAGCTTGACATCGCCCCGCTGTTCATCGAAGCTCACACCGCTCTTTTGCCTTTGTGGAACGCTCCTGCTCGCAGGGAGCCCGTCTGCAGAAAAGGTCAAAGTCTTTCAAGTCTCATGGGAACGCACCACCAGCCGACACTCGGCAAAGACGCATCGCCAGTGACAGTCTGTGGAAATTTCTGTCTGCGTTTGAGCGCGTGTGTCGTCGCATAGCTGAGTGAATTGTCTGACATGGACGCAAGGATGCGCCGACCTTGTCAAGATCGGTGCACGCAAACGCGGACGAGTCGGCATTACATCCTGCCTATGTTCAACAAAACAGGAGGAACAGATGATAAAAGAACGGCAGGATACTTAAACCCTATATAATAACTGGTGTTCTACCCTACATTGAGGGAAATGATGAGGAAGTTTGCACTTGAGAGGTAGAGAGAATTAAAAAGAGTGAGAGAGAGGGAGGAAGCATACGCATAAAGTTGAAGTCCTCATAGTCGGGATACCAGTATTGATCTATAACCGCTTGTACAAGTCTTCTAACTTCAAGCATTAAAACAGTGTCTTCGTCGCCTGAATGCACGATGATTTCTCAAAAAGACATCCTAAAATGGCTGCTTCCGACATCTGTCTGTGGTCAAGGTGAGCTAGAGACACGACAAGTAATCATCATTGCACATTACAGCAAGAACATTCGCAAAAAAAAAACATGTTGCAATGTCTCCTCGCCACTACAGCTTTCGAAGGGAAGGGTGTCAGCCATTGCAATTCGAAAAGTAAATTGCTTTTTGAATGTGACTCTTGGCCATAGCCAGCAAACCAGGGACTAGACTCCATCTCTTCGGTGGAGTCCAGTGTGAACCTCCAAACGAAGTAGTGTTCGGGTAGTGGTGCCCATTGCTTTAAATTCTTTGTGTATGCCACGCACAATGTGCAATATCATGTATTCGGGTAGTGAAGCCCGTTGCTTTGAATTCTTCGTGTATGCCAAGCACAATGTGCAATATCATGTGCGATCGATGGAAGCTGGCTCGACGCAATGAGACCGTGACATTGGTAATGTGTCTACTTTATCGCCTTGAAGCAGCGTTATTAGCGTGCCCGTTGCTTTGAATTCTTTGTGTATGCCAAGCACAATGTGCAATATCATGTGTTCGGGTAGTGGTGCCCGTTGCTTTGAATTCTTTATGTATGCCAAGCACAATGTGCAATATCATGTGTGATCAATGGAAGCTGGCTCACCGCAATAAGACCGTGACATTGGTAATGTGTCTACTTTATCGCCTTGAAGCAGCGTTATTAGCGTGTATATTGGCCATCACGCTTCAGCGGCTTCGCAACCGCTCTAATGTAATTGAGTGTCCGTTCTCAAATGATCTATAGAGAAAATAGCCTTAAACCTTTGCTAAGTGGGCGAGTAGGAACAAAAAGCTCTTATCTTGTGTACTATTCACCGTTATTACCATTATATAGGAAATAGCTATATTAAAATATCGGCAGACCCTACATCCTGTGGGAATCGATTTCGTGCGAAGCAGTGAGCAGCAAGCAACCACATTGTTTATACCGCCTTGTTTTGGCTTTGAGCCAAGCGTTAAGAGATGATTAAACGTATTCTTGCAGATGGAGGAATCACTTGTGCACCGTGGACTTACCAGTCGCATCGCCTATACAATGACGTTTAAAGGGTGACTTATCGTTTGGCGTAACGTTAACACTCACGTTACAGCAGTGACGTCAGTTTTACTGAACCAAGGTGCTCAATACGTTGTGATGTCGCTAATATTTCGTCCGCTTATTACTCAGGGGTCGAGCAACGCTTGATTATAGTTCTCCGAGTCATAGCAGGACATAAAGAGTGCTTATTAGACTGTTTTAAAAGCGAAGCGAACTTTCTAACCACAAGTGATGTCAATCCAACATGGTACTTGCATTGAAGGAGTACAAATTTATTTCTCATTAGTTCTCTTATAAAATTACATAGCCAGCACTGTAACTGTGTATGACATCTCAAGGACAGGACACCTACATATAGTCACTTTCCAAAGCAGTTTCAAGGTCTGACGTGAGTCTGTGGTTGAATATTTGACTGCCACGCACAATGCCTGGGTTCGATTTCTACTAAGATCCTGATTTTAAATGCGAAGTATTTCTTACATATCTTACCAACTTTGAGCGTATATATATATATATATATATATATATATATATATATTGTAAGGCAACGTTTTGGCTGCAAGACGCTTCTTTTACTTGCCGAGCCTCTGCCCCACAACACATGTCAGGCTGATGATGATGAGTATGTACATATGATAAAATGACGTGCATGAATAATGCTCACACTCATTTCCCCCCCCCCCCACACGCTTGAGCGGCCAGCCCGGACGCGTCTTAGAGGGAAACGGAACGTCGAACGAATGGCTTCAGACGCAATACGTGGACAATCTCCGAACCACGACAGCGACGATCCGAACAAAGGTCGCTGGGAGTGACACGGTAGTTCACTGGTGACGTTTGTTCAGTGATTGTATAGGGTGCAATGAAGCGTGGCTGAAATTTATCGCACAATCCTCGAGTACCAATGGGCGTCCAAAGCAACACTTCATCCCCAGGACTGAAGGAGACGTCGCGATGAGAGCTGTCGTAGCGCTGCTTGCGATCTTGCTGATTGGCTTCTGTATTAAGGCGAGCCCGTTGCCGACATTCCTCGAGCCTTGTGATGAACTGCTCTGATAAGGTTGCCGAGGCGTCAGTTGGAACATTTAAGAAAGAGACGTCGATGGTGAATGTCGGTGAACGGCCGTACACGAGGTAGAAAGGCGAGTAGCCAGTAGTTCTTTGAACAGCGGTGTTATGGGCAAACGTCACAAAAGGCAAAATCGTATCCCAGTTATCGTGGTTTGGTGCGATGTACATCGATAGCATGTCTGTTAGTGTCTGATGAAATCTCTCTGTCAACCCATTAGTTTGGGGGTGGTAGGCTGACTTCGTCTTATGTACTGTACCAC